ACATAGGTCACAATTTCCCTCCCCCATAACTCGGTCAAAAATCAACAGATTTTCACAAGCTTTTGCTTTTTGTTCATGGTTTGACCTCTAGATCAATTTGGCATCTAAATCTGGAAACATGATTCTTGGTCAAAATTCATGTGCAAATGGTACCATCAAATGTCCTATACAGGCATAGGTCACAATTTCCCACCCCCATAACTCGGTCAAAAATCATCTGATTTTCATAAGGTTTGGCTTTTCGGTCATGGTTTGACCTCTAGATCAATTTGGCATCTAAATCTGGAAACATGATTCTTGGTCAAAATTCATGTGCAAATGGTACCATCAAATATCCTGTACAGACATAGGTCACAATTTCCCACCCCCATAACTCGGTCAAAAATCATCTGATTTTCATAAGGTTTGGCTTTTTGTTTATGGTAAGACCTCTAGATCAATTTGGCATCTAAATCTGGAAACATGATTCTTGGTCAAAATTCATGTGAAAATGGTATAATCAAATATCCTATGCAGACAGGTCAACATTTCCCACCCCCATAACTCGGTCAAAAATCAACCGATTTTCATAAGCTTTGGCTTTTTGATCATGGTTTGAGCTCTAGATCAATTTGGCAAGTAAGTCTGGAAACATGATTCTTGGTCAAAATTCATGTGCAAATGGTACCATCAAATATCCTATACAGACATAGGTCACAATTTCCCACCCCCATAACTCGGTCAAAAATCAACCGATTTTCACAAGCTTTTGCTTTTTGTTCATGGTTTGACCTCTAGATCAATTTGGCATCTAAATCTGGAAACATGATTCTTGGTCAAAATTCATGTGCAAATGGTACCATCAAATATCCTGTACAGACATAGGTCACAATTTCCCACCCCCATAACTCGGTCAAAAATCATCTGATTTTCATAAGGTTTGGCTTTTCGGTCATGGTTTGACCTCTAGATCAATTTGGCATCTAAATCTGGAAACATGATTCTTGGTCAAAATTCATGTGCAAATGGTACCATCAAATATCCTATACAGACATAGGTCACAATTTCCCACCCCCATAACTCGGTCAAAAATCAACCGATTTTCACAAGCTTTTGCTTTTTGTTCATGGTTTGACCTCTAGATCAGTTTGGCATCTAAATCTGGAAACATGATTCTTGGTCAAAATTCATGTGCAAATGGTACCATCAAATATCCTATACAGACATAGGTCACAATTTCCCACCCCCATAACTCGGTCAAAAATCATCTGATTTTCATAAGGTTTGGCTTTTCGGTCATGGTTTGACCTCTAGATCAATTTGGCATCTAAATCTGGAAACATGATTCTTGGTCAAAATTCATGTGCAAATGGTACCATCAAATATCCTATACAGACATAGGTCACAATTTCCCACCCCCATAACTCGGTCAAAATCAACCGATTTTCACAAGCTTTTGCTTTTTGTTCATGGTTTGACCTCTAGATCAATTTGGCATCTAAATCTGGAAACATGATTCTTGGTCAAAATTCATGTGCAAATGGTACCATCAAATATCCTGTACAGACATAGGTCACAATTTCCCACCCCCATAACTCGGTCAAAAATCATCTGATTTTCATAAGGTTTGGCTTTTCGGTCATGGTTTGACCTCTAGATCAATTTGGCATCTAAATCTGGAAACATGATTCTTGGTCAAAATTCATGTGCAAATGGTACCATCAAATATCCTATACAGACATAGGTCACAATTTCCCACCCCCATAACTCGGTCAAAAATCAACCGATTTTCACAAGCTTTTGCTTTTTGTTCATGGTTTGACCTCTAGATCAATTTGGCATCTAAATCTGGAAACATGATTCTTGGTCAAAATTCATGTGCAAATGGTACCATCAAATATCCTGTACAGACATAGGTCACAATTTCCCACCCCCATAATTCGGTCAAAAATCATCTGATTTTCATAAGGTTTGGCTTTTCGGTCATGGTTTGACCTCTAGATCAATTTGGCATCTAAATCTGGAAACATGATTCTTGGTCAAAATTCATGTGCAAATGGTACCATCAAATATCCTATACAGACATAGGTCACAATTTCCCACCCCCATAACTCGGTCAAAAATCAACCGATTTTCACAAGCTTTTGCTTTTTGTTCATGGTTTGACCTCTAGATCAGTTTGGCATCTAAATCTGGAAACATGATTCTTGGTCAAAATTCATGTGCAAATGGTACCCCATACGACTGGTCCCCCCCCCCCCGGTCAAAAATCAACCGATTTTCACAAGCTTTTGCTTTTTGTTCATGGTTTGACCTCTAGATCAATTTGGCATCTAAATCTGGAAACATGATTCTTGGTCAAAATTCATGTGCAAATGGTACCATCAAATATCCTATACAGACATAGGTCACAATTTCCCTCCCCCATAATTCGGTCAAAAATCAACCGATTTTCATAAGGTTTGGCTTTTCGGTCATGGTTTGACCTCTAGATCAATTTGGCATCTAAATCTGGAAACATGATTCTTGGTCAAAATTCATGTGCAAATGGTACCATCAAATATCCTGTACAGACATAGGTCACAATTTCCCACCCCCATAACTCGGTCAAAAATCATCTGATTTTCATAAGGTTTGGCTTTTCGGTCATGGTTTGACCTCTAGATCAATTTGGCATCTAAATCTGGAAACATGATTCTTGGTCAAAATTCATGTGCAAATGGTACCATCAAATATCCTATACAGACATAGGTCACAATTTCCCTCCCCCATAACTCGGTCAAAAATCAACCGATTTTCACAAGCTTTTGCTTTTTGTTCATGGTTTGACCTCTAGATCAATTTGGCATCTAAATCTGGAAACATGATTCTTGGTCAAAATTCATGTGCAAATGGTACCATCAAATATCCTGTACAGACATAGGTCACAATTTCCCACCCCCATAACTCGGTGAAAAATCATCTGATTTTCATAAGGTTTGGCTTTTCGGTCATCGTTTGACCTCTAGATCAATTTGGCATCTAAATCTGGAAACATGATTCTTGGTCAAAATTCATGTGCAAATGGTACCATCAAATATCCTATACAGACATAGGTCACAATTTCCCACCCCCGTAACTCGGTCAAAAATCAACCGATTTTCACAAGCTTTTGCTTTTTGTTCATGGTTTGACCTCTAGATCAATTTGGCATCTATATCTGGAAACATGATTCTTGGTCAAAATTCATGTGCAAATGGTACCATCAAATATCCTGTACAGACATAGGTCACAATTTCCCACCCCCATAACTCGGTCAAAAATCATCTGATTTTCATAAGGTTTGGCTTTTCGGTCATGGTTTGACCTCTAGATCAATTTGGCATCTAAATCTGGAAACATGATTCTTGGTCAAAATTCATGTGCAAATATCCTATACAGACATATGTAGGTCACAATTTCCCTCCCCCATAACTCGGTAAAAAATCAACCGATTTTCACAAGCTTTTGCTTTTTGTTCATGGTTTGACCTCTAAATCAATTTGGCATCTAAATCTGGAAACATGATTCTTGGTCAAAATTCATGTGCAAATGGTACCATCAAATATCCTATACAGGCATAGGTCACAATTTCCCACCCCCATAACTCGGTCAAAAATCATCTGATTTTCATAAGGTTTGGCTTTTTGTTCATGGTTTAACCTCTATATCAATTTGGCATCTAAATCTGGAAACATGATTCTTGGTCAAAATTCATGTGCAAATGGTACCATCAAATATCCTATACAGACATAGGTCATTATTTCCCACAACCATAACTCGGTCAAAAATCATCTGATTTTCATAAGGTTTGGCTTTTCGGTCATGGTTTGACCTCTAGATCAATTTGGCATCTAAATCTGGAAACATGATTCTTGGTCAAAATTCATGTGCAAATGGTACCATCAAATATCCTATACAGACATAGGTCACAATTTCCCTCCCCCATAACTCGGTCAAAAATCAACCGATTTTCACAAGCTTTTGCTTTTTGTTCATGGTTTGACCTCTAGATCAATTTGGCATCTAAATCTGGAAACATGATTCTTGGTCAAAATTCATGTGCAAATGGTACCATCAAATATCCTATACAGACATAGGTCACAATTTCCCTCCCCCATAACTCGGTCAAAAATCAACCGATTTTCATAAGCTTTTGCTTTTTGTTCATGGTTTAACCTCTAGATCAATTTGGCATCTAAATCTGGAAACATGATTCTTGGTCAAAATTCATGTGCAAATGGTACCATCAAATATCCTGTACAGACATAGGACACAATTTCCCACCCCCATAACTCGGTCAAAAATCAACCGATTTTCACAAGCTTTTGCTTTTTGTTCATGGTTTGACCTCTAGATCAATTTGGCATCTAAATCTGGAAACATGATTCTTGGTCAAAGTTCATGTGCAAATGGTACCATCAAATATCCTGTACAGGCATAGGTCACAATTTCCCTCCCCCATAATTCGGTCAAAAATCAACCGATTTTCATAAGGTTTGGCTTTTCGGTCATGGTTTGACCTCTAGATCAATTTGGCATCTAAATCTGGAAACATGATTCTTGGTCAAAATTCATGTGCAAATGGTACCATCAAATATCCTGTACAGACATAGGTCACAATTTCCCTCCCCCATAACTCGGTCAAAAATCATCTGATTTTCATAAGGTTTGGCTTTTCGGTCATGGTTTGACCTCTATATCAATTTGGCATCTAAATCTGGAAACATGATTCTTGGTCAAAATTCATGTGCAAATGGTACCATCAAATATCCTGTACAGACATAGGTCACAATTTCCCACCCCCATAACTCGGTCAAAAATCAACCAATTTTCACAAGCTTTTGCTTTTTTTTCATGGTTTGACCTCTAGATCAATTTGTCCACTCGGGTGGAATTTCCAACAAGTCCGTCGTTGCTTGCACCTGCATCACATAAGATAACTTCAGTTTGGGCTGCGCGTAGAGTCAGGGCAAAGAGTTTTATATAAAGGCATGACTTCTTTCTGGGTTTTCAGTTTATTATATCGTATTATGCGCTAAATATATATTAATATGTAATTATTCTTATTGTACAAATAGTGTGTGGATGTTAGGATTATGTGAACGGGAGTGGGGGTTCACTTAGCATAGAGTATGTTTCAGCCCTGATATGGTGATGGGTTAATAATAGCTTAAGATTAAATGAGACAGGCAGCTCCTTCAACTGACTTGGACTGAAGGAATGTGTCCCACCATTGAGATACTCGTTGTCCAATGAGGGTCTTCAACAGAAACTCCATAACTACGTATACGTTGCTAAGTACTTAGGTAGGTACGACAGAATGGCCACAACCGCAATCAAACTCAATTGAAATTACAGTCCAAAGTGTTCTGCTCGGTGGTTGTGGTGCGAATGCGACTCTGATCGCTCTGGGAGCGCTGGAGCCGGCCGCCGCGCCAGCCACTGCGCCAGCGCTTGATGCAGTTAAACAGGGACCAATTGATGCTCTTGGTGCGGGTCACCACATAAATGTACGGATCCAATGTGAAATGTACCGCCATGAGGACATCGGCTACAACAAAGAACGGATGCGCCGCTCTCACGCGATTCTCCTTTATGGCCAAGGGTATGGCAATCTGCGGGAGAAGAGCGTTAATTGAATACTTATTGATGTAATCCGATTTTCCGTTTCTACTGACCATTTGCGGCATCCAGCATAAGACAAAGCTGAGGCTTAGGAATGCCATTAGCTTGGCAAACTTGATCTCATCCGGGGATGTTGCGGCGGTCATGGTCACGCTGTTGCTATGATGGAATTGCCTTGGCGGCGGCAGATTGTGATGGACGCTGCCGGTGCTATACTGGGCCTGGTAGAGCGTTGTGCCGCTGCTGCTCTCCGCATCGATGGTGCGTATGCTCTTCTCGCGGCCAACCAGATTGTAGTTCATATGCCGTTTGGTCGTGCGACTGCGTCCGATGATCCACAGGACGCGGGCCACAAACAAATTGCAGACGACAATCACAACGCACAATAGGCTGCCTGTTATGGAACGGAAAGATGCCACAGATGAGCGGGATTCCTTCAATGGAACACTTTTGTATAACTCTTACCAAAGACCATAAAGAATATGGAATAGGCATTGTTTGATGCGCCAGTCGCATCCCGATAGCGTATACATTTCACGTGCTTCGGATTCGATTCGTTAATGTAGGCGCCAAATCCGACAAATGGCAGAAACGTAACAATTGCGGCCACCAACAGGATGCTTCGTATGCTCTTCTGGATCAGCTCGTAGGTGATGTGCTGGACAGAGTTGCACGATTAAGATTTGTTCTGTGTGTGTGTTCGATTTAACTGCGCAAACTTACCTTGTGATAGATAAAGGGACGTGCCAGGGCCATGCAACGCTCGGCAGCCATTATGGCGGCTATGCAGCCGGAGTTGACGCCAAAGAAACGCCACACCACGTGCCCAACGCAGTCGAGTCGCAAAAAAAATGGCACCAGCTCCGGAAAACTGTACTTGAGCAGCGCTGCGCCAGACATGCCCAGCAGACCCACCAGATCATTTGTGGCCAGGCAGCTGTGTGGGAGCAAAAGAATGGTTGTGGAATTAGGCCGACACATTGAGTGGGATCATAAATTAGCACACTTTGCGACGGGATAAAGCCCTTTATACTCTTGCAGAGGGTATTCCAATATTGGCAGGAAATTTGCGGCGCATAGAAGGAGATGTCTCCGACCCTATTAAAGACCATTTACTCAACGGTTGAGTTGATGTCGCTGTGTCCAGAATGCAAACTATTCTCGCCTATATAAATGAACGTCTGGAAGACAATATATATGTTGGAATCGGTCGGATCGGATCACTATATCAAATAGCTGTCATAGAAATATGTCTTAGTTTTCAAGATATCTTGACCAACCTTTTCTTTTATCCTACATTTCAAGCTTCACTACTCCGAAAAACCTGGAGGTCACAGTCTCTGCAAGGGTATTTCACCTTCGGCATGCCGAAGATGGCAATTATTTTTTTGTTTCCTGTTTGGACTCAAATGAAAGACGTGCTCGGCCTGTGGCCGAGTTGTGCGTGCTGAGCTCGCCTTTGGGTCACAAAATTGGGGGCTGTGGACTGTAGGCTGTAGGCTGTGGGTTATAGGGTTTTCGGGGCTCGTAAATAGCGCAATTAAAGTTTTTTACACAATAAATGTGTTTAATGATGTCACATTTATAATTCTTATCGATGGTCGAACAAATTGCGACGCACTCAGAGACTAGACCAAGTGGAACTAACTGACCAGGCGCAAGCTGATAATGATTATTGCCATATATAATGCTTTTTGAATACCGGTACGCATAATATCCGGTACATTAGCTTTCTTAGTCACCTTTGGTATTAGCCTTGATTGCTTAACATCTGTTTAATACAATACTTCAGACCATTGCAAATGTTTTATAGCTGATTGCAAACCTATAAACCAAGGCATTCGACTAAAGAATGTTCAAGTAAATACGTTTGTTTTTAGCTATATCTCTATATAAATTTATAAAATTGTTTGTCGTGAATTGATTGACTGAACCGACAGATCAATGAAGTTGAACTAAACTGGGCTTTATTTTTTATATAGGGCTGTGTTTTATGGTCATTTATAACAAATGCAGCCCAAATTTGCATTAATTTGTACCCCCTTGCGCTGGAAATTAGCAAAATCGTATTTGTCAACATCGCCCTACTATGCGATTCTCATGAATTCAAGCAGGCCTTGCACGTTTTCATGCTTTAATTATAAATATTAAGTTCAAAAGCTGTGTTTGCTATCTAAAAACCATTTTCTCTGCACATATTCTCATACCAATTTAATTTGCTCTTTTAGTGATGTGTGTATATATATACAAATCTGCCTTTCTCCTACTAATGGATGAATATATGATAAATGTGCGTCGGAGTTTGGGGTAAGTACATTTTTACATATGTATGTTTATATACCGAAAAGAATACAGTACCTGGAAGATTAATCTTACAGGGAATACATATACTAAGAAAATCTTACGAAATTTGTGCGGTTATGGGAGCTTTCACTGTATACGTTAAGGAAAAGACCTGGGTAGGAATTTTCTTTCAGTGAATTAAAATATTCAATCGATACTTATGAACTTTACATATCTATATGCTTGGGTGATAATCAAGTTATAAGATATCTTACAAAAGCATACTTCCCTAACATTCAATTCCAATTGAAATAATGTTTCCCTCACTTTCTTGCATTATAAAAAACAGTTCTTCAAGAATCTGCAAAAATACTTCTACAGAGCATTTCACATTCGTTGCAATTCTCTCAGAAATCTCTTGCGAACGTTCAGATAGACAACAAGTTCTCCGTCTGTCATCGCGAAGGCACATTTTTCTTTTTCCAGAACCATTCAAAAAAAGAAAACGTCACTCGTGTCACATAAGAAAATCATTTGTCTCTGCTATAAATAATTGTTTTCAGCTCTCGAACAGAGCGGGAAAAAATCGAATAGATGTGTAGATTACAATAAGGGGCAATCGATGGCAAAACTAACAGATTCCGACAGTATTTGCTGAACTCAAGATTGACCGCAGCCATATTCGAACACAGTTCGTGTATATCGATGCAGATATAGTCACAAATTTTAATTACAAATGCGATTTATGGTGGGCTGTAAACTTTTTGTGTGTACACAATATTTTGCATTAGGGCGCGCGTGAGTTGCTATTTTATTGAAAAACTGAAATGTTTGAGAAATTTTTGCTAACAACAAGAAAAATACGACTGTCGACTGGCACGCCGAAAGCTGAATACTCTGGCAGACATGAGATTTGCGGTTGTGCGAAAAGAATTGTGAAACTCGAAATTGTTAAGTTTGGTTCGAATAACTCTACAAACAGAAATTGTATCCATACAAAAAATCTGTTTTGTTCAATTTTTTCTAAAGAGCTATGTGATATAGCAGTCAGATGTTAATTAAACTTAGCCCTTATGTAAGAATTAGAATTTGTGTATAGAAACTTTAGTTAATGCATTCAAATAAACAGATAGGAATGTACATATAAGTACTATATATTTTCGATATTTTAAAACACTTAAAATACAAATGGGGTTTAAAATAAAGTTTAACTTAGTTCTCGACTATATGATATAGTGGTCCGATAATAAAAAAGTTTACTACAATATGTGGAACATGGTAGAATTCCTGTATGCCAAGGTTAAGGTTAAGATATTAAAAAAAAATAAAATATTATATAGTGGTCCGATGGTGATAAGATTTAGCTTATGTTTATGGAGCATGCTGAATGCCAAGTTTGGTCAAGATATTTTGAAAAAATTAAAAGGATAGCTGTATCGTCTCTATCAATAATATATTTGTACCTCTCTGCAATTACTCTGTGACGTGACAAAATTGGGATGCCCCCCGGAAGAGTATATCATTCGAGCAGCGGAAGAGCGTGTTCATAAAACATATACGATGTGTTCACACGCTTTCATTTAGGACCCGATTTAGGCACAGTCTCGAGGGCCTCTATATGCGAATATATAATTGTTTTGGCGTCAAGTGTCAAACTGAGCGCACAAGTTCATCAATCAAATCAAGCTGAGATCAAAGCGGTTACATTATTATGTCCCTTGAGCACACACACGCACACACACACACACACACGCGCACAGCCCGGATAATTTGGTCGAGGGCTCAAATTGCTGTTTGTAGGCACTTTTCGGATTTGAACAAATTATGTTCAAGGCGTAAATTGATGCCGGCTAAGCCTGTGGCCTCCTTTTGATGGAAAATGCCGAAAAAAATGTCATAACAGGCTGTATCCAAAAAATATATATGTAAATATATATTCAAGTGGCTGCCACAAGTGTTGCGTGGCTCCCGATAAAACTAAATCAAATGCCGTTTGGTCAGGGCAAATGTATATATTTAGATAAGATATGCAAATGTAATTGAATACGAGGGCTGTCTTTAATGATGTGCTAACGGTTAGGATTTCACATTTTAATTGAAAAATGTGAAATTTTCTAGAATTTATTGAGTAGCATTTGATACACGAGCACAAAAAAATGCCTCAACAATGCATCATGCCAAAAATGAAATGAATTCGAGAACATTTTTGTGCAATATTTAATTACGGATTTTGGCAGGGATTATCAAGAGCAGAGTGCATCGATTAATTTATTTATTTTATTTTTGGCAATGAAGCACAACACTTAGCCACAGTGAAACGCTGCTATAGGGAATACAATATATAGTTCGTAAACCATTTGCCCTGCCAAAGATTAAAGAAAACGTATAGTTAAATTTTATAACAAGATCTTTATCAAATCAAATTGTGGCGGGGAATTAGAAGGGTCCGAAAATTCAGAAGAAAATAGTTTGATAATATATTTATGATAAGCGCTTCTCAAAATATAGTTCAAGAGTTCTCAGAAGTGTATTCAACTTCATGGAGAATTAACTATATCTTTTTGTAAAGCCATTTTTATACCCTGAACCCATTGAAAATGGGTAAAAAGGGTATAATGTATTTGTGCAAATGTATGTAACAGGCAGAAGGAAGCATCTCCGACCCCATAAAGTAGATATATTCTTGATCCGTCCGTCCGTCTGTCCGTATGTATGAACGCAAGGATCTCAGAAAGTATAAGAGCTAGAGACTTGAAATCTTAGCTGTAGGTCCTCCTAGTCCCCGCGCACATCGAGTTTGTTTCCGATAGTCGATCACTTGTCCCGTTTCCAAGATTTCGATAAAAATCGATATCGAAATCCTGTTATTTGAGCAATTTCGGCAAATAATATGAGCTAGAGTCACCAAACTTGACATGTAGCTTCTAGAATAAGTATTATCTTAGGAGGCTAATAATTAATAGATAATTAGATTGATCAAAGTTATTCCGATGATAATAATAATATAAATATTGCAAATTATAGTAGTAAAGAATATATATTGATGAAGATAATAAAATCAATGATATTTTTGGCTTAAGCCCACTGAAAACCCCTCCTCATTAGGACTATTTCCACTTCAGAAAAGGAAAAATAAAAATAAAAATTTTTGATATTAATAATAATAATTATATTGATAATAATAATAAAAATTATGTTGATAATATTGATAATAATAACAAAACAAAAATAATAATTATAAAAATAACAACAATAATAATAAAAATAACAATAATAATAATAAAAATAATAATTATAATTATAATAATGATAATTATGGGTATAATGACAGTAATAATAACAATAATATTCAAATAAGTACAAGAGGAATACCAAATTCAATTAGAGTAGTAATGGTGATAATAGTTATAATAATGATAATGACAACAATGATAGGGATAATGTCAAAAAATAATATTAAAATGAATACAAAAAATTAATAAAAAATTAAAAAAAAAAAAATGCCGCACAATATCAAAGGCAACCCCTCGTATTTAAGTTAGATTTTTGGGAGCACAAAGCTCGCGAGCGCTCCACTAAAATGCAAAGTGGACCCGCACAATATCCAGCAAGTTGAACAAACCTCAACTGCCATGAACCCAGAGAGCACAGCTATGCATGTGACAACTATTGCTAGACACAGTAGCACCTGTGTGTGCGTGTGTGTGTGTGTGTATACATATGCATTTGCGCATTTTGTTAATTGTTAAACTTACCGCAACATGAACGTGTATTTGCTGTTTTTGTTATGCTTTTTACGCGCCAAAATAATCAATGCCAGAAAATTGCCCAGCACACCGATACCCATGACAATCATGCTACCTAACAAACGCTGGCGATTCTTGTACAAATCATTTGCTGAAGATGGCGTTGAGCTATTTGTGGCCAATTCGGTGGCCACTTGCAACAGTTGGCCCGCAGGCGTTGTGGCATTGTTGGCGATAGACATCTTTGCAGCGGCTGTTGCGTCTTTGAAGCTTTCCAGTGAAAATGTCTTGGCACACACGCCACAACAATTTATTTAATTTATTATTGCTCTTTTTGAATTGGTCAACTTTAGTTGTTGTTGTTTTTGTTGCCACTCTGCTGCTGTCCGTTCGTGCAACAGCTGGAAACTAGTTTCGATCGGTTGATTAACGCGTTTTCGGCCACTTAATTTAACATTAAGCAGTTCAGCAATTGGCTTTGGCATTAGCCGTAAATATATATTTTGCCAGTTACGCACGCGCGATTCTTGGAGCACACACACAAACACAGGCATACACTACGTTGCAACGTCTCCGAGATAATCCGTGCCGCGCACCGTCTGCAGCGAGCAGTCGATTTAGAATGACGAACCGATAGCCAGCCTACGATGATGACAATGACGCTGACTGCGCTGCCGCTACCTCTGCCGCTACCTCTGCCGCTGCCTCTGCTGCTGGTGGGTGGGAATGACAGCCAAAGTTCCTTGCCAGGCCGACGACGACGACGATGGCGACGATAACAACGCTCAACAGTTGGCACACGCCGACTTCGGAGCTGCTCGGCAATTTCGGTTGATGAAACAACGTTACCGCCGCCGTCGCCGCTGCTGGTGGTCGCACCCCTGCGCCTCATGCCGGCCATTTAAAATGCGCAGCCAGTGCCGAACGCCAGCGTTAACGTCAGCGTCAACGTTGACTGTGGCAGCAAAAGCGTGTGCGGTCGCAATAACTAGCCGATTTGTATACCCTATGCACAGAAGTGAGCAGAAGTATATTGGGTTTTTGACATGTCCGACTGGGAGACTTGAAACTTGATAAAAATACTTTAGGGACTCGGCCCGGCAAAGCCTGTTAGTAAATATGTGCGGGTTAAGTTATTTTCCTTAAAGATCACACAATCCACTTCCACCCATTTCCCGACCGTAACAAATTAAATAGGTATATTTTAATTCGATCGGAATAAAGCGAAAAAGGCCCATTCAAAGTTTCCCGCCCTAAGGAATGGTATTTAAAAATCGTTGAGTACGTTTTTATTTGCTTTTGTAAACCAACCTTGTACCCGCATTTTTCATCCAAGAGAAGGTGAAACATGTTTCCAATGATTATTCACCAAGTTCTTGGAAAATGAACTTAATATCAATTGAATGGTAAACAAAAAAACTTTTACGCATGCGTGTTCCGCCCATATTCCACAGATCCGAGTGGAAAATCGCTGAAATACGTGTATTCATTAAGTTGTTAAGCGTGGGCAATTAGAGAAAATGTATAGGAACAATTAGGAACAGGGACTCGATGAGCGCCTCCAAAAATTGACATGAAAACATTCACTAGGGTCGTGGGATATGATAGGAATCTACAGCTCCAAATAAATGTGACCTGTTTAAAAAACTGTGAACGTGTATTAAACAGTCAGTAATAACCGACTGTAATATTCTTACCTGTTGATGTTTGAATACTCTATAAATATAATTGAAAAGCCCTAACAACAGCGAGAGACAGAGTGGCAGCTGGTGCGACTGCTGATAGATCCCACGGGCTACTGATACTGGATGTGGTTGCATTGTAAATTCCCGCAGTTAATCGAGTCTACCAGAATAACAGCTATAAATAATGGGGCATAAAAGCGGCCCCAACTTGTCAAGCTGAAGTCGTTAAATATCTCAGAGCATTAAACAAATATTAACTACTTTCTCTGATTTCAAATAAATCAAAATGAATAGAGTATTTGGAATGCGGTGTAAGTTTCAGTTTCAGTTTGTTTTCCATTAGCTATTTATTTTGCGCCTCTCAACAATTAACAATTAAAATGTTTTGTTTTTGCAAAACGTTCGTGTGCGGCTTTTGACTCGAGATTTTGGCACATTTAAGAATGCAATCGGCTAAATTAACAATTAACGCAAACAGTCAATAATCGCAATGGCCGCTGCGCGAAATGGTTGAGTTAAGATCAAAGAGGCGCATACGAAATGCATTCTAAATGCGATATTATCCGTAAAGCGAAACGGAAGTGAGCACCAAGACGCCGCTGCTGACAGCGACGTCGACGCCAGCTGCGACGTCGGCAGCCTGCCTCTGTGTGTATGCGTGTCCAATTTCGGGACAATGCGGCGTATGCGCAATGTGTATTTAATTTAATGTCGATTTACACACACATACAATTTCCCGGAATCAACTGTAGCCAGTCTGTGGCCAATAAATTCATGAGCCGACGGATGCTGACGCAGTCCTGGACGCCCAATCGACCCAACAGGAGCGTCACGCAGCGCCAGGGCCATGGAAAACCACAGGCGACTATTTTTAGGCCAATTGGCTCCAGGCAAAGCACAAAACAAAGCCCAAACACGAAACATGCCGACTGTGACTCGGACACAGAATGCGTTTGACTAATAGATTTCGGGGAATTTGTATTTGTATCCCTTGATAACCTAGTGCCGCTCGGTTAATTGTGTCGCACCCCCCCCCCCCTCCCTGCAAAAAAAGGAACAAATAAGGAGGAAGAAATTCAATTCCTTTTGCCAAAGTCATATTTTGTCGGCTCTTTTTGGGGGCACATAAAAATGACTTTTTTGGCAGCTTGCGTGGCTGCAGCAGCAGGTTGAGTGACCTCTGAACCCCTCACACACACACACACACACACACACAGTCGCACTCACACAGCAAGCGGCGGTTGTTTGCAAAATTAAATTCATAAATAATAACGTATTATTTGCTGGCCCTTTTCATTCATTTACGCGCGCGCCCCCGTCCCGACTAGTTGGCTCCCTAAAGTGCCTGATTAATGGTTGACAGTCGACTCGCCTCCAGTCTGGCCCAGAATTTGGTCTCTCTAATAATTGACAAGCACTTTGCACTATATTCAATCCAAGTGCAATAAGATAAAGCTCCTAATCCCGCTCAAACAACGATATTGAGTTATTGTCTTTATATATCACAAATTACTTTTGTCATACCCCGGGTTATATATGTTAGGTAGATGCGACATATAGGAAGTGCTGATAAGGTAAATTTCTGTTTAAATGAAAAATATGATTGCTTTATAAAATCACTGAGTCACAAGCTGTCCACACTCAGTTCACGTGCCCAACTTTTTGGTCTGTAAATAAGATACAACTTGCAACATTCCCTACTGACAAATAAGATTCGCAAGAGTTTGGAGTAAAAGCTTGGAGAAGCGTTTATGCCCTAACTTTACTAACAAAATTTGGGAGGAATCGTTTTTGAGACTGACTCGATCTAGATAGATAGAAAGTCATCGCAACTTAAACTTTAAATGTAATAGGAACCAAGTCTTCGGACCGTATAGCCGACAATATTCTTTGCTTTGCTCTACAAAGACAAATAAATAACAATATTTAAGTCTATATCCACAGCAATTCATTTTTCAGGGTCAACTTAATGTCTGGGGCAGTGGCAATTGACTTCTTTCCTCTACTTATTTGCTTTGATTGTCACAGCGACATACCATATGATTTATGAGTCCGCAGATACCAGAGACTGATAACATGGTACGCTTATGACTGATTGGGATAGTCCCAATCAAAACTATATAATACAAGAAAACCATAATTCCTCAGAACATCCTATGGCTGACGTCTATTGAAAATGTTTTCTTAAGAAAGCGCTGACTAGTTGTAGTTAGATGCTGAATTTCGTAGAAAAAATGCGCAGCTCTGCGAGCTTCGAGAAACTTAGGACTGTGCTGGGCTGGTCTGGGCATTGGCTTGGTCGTCATGCATCAATGTCATCCAGCTGCAGTTGTTGTTGTTTATGCCGAATGCATACTGTGACGTGAAACGCATGCAAACTGCAGCCGTGAATAAATTAGCAAACGGAAGCTGCAGCAACAATTGGACACACGTTGGATCGTGTCCAGGCGAAGCAGTTTGGCGGCACACACATTGCTTTACATTGGCGACTATTTAGCATAACAAATAAATAAGAATTTTAATTGTATTGCGCTACTGCGATACTTGGCCAGGGGGCAGGCATCTCAGAAAGGCGCGTAGCCAAAATTAAAATAAAAAGCACACAAGAAAGCATTACCAAGTTTTTAATATCAAAACATTGGGCATCATCAGCGGCATTTTAATAGCTCGATAAGTCGCTTACAATTAACATTTTATCAATAGAGCCTCCCAAAGCAAAGTATCGCGCCCATTAAAGCGGGCCGGAATTAAAGCCAATTGGTATTACAAGCACGCAGCCACAAATTGTTAAACGCGTGCAAAACCAAAACGGGCAAAATACAAAAAAAAAATATGATGACATGGGCCCACAAAATGTAGATATAACTATAGATAAACAGAGTGTATATATTTTTGTATATATGTTTGTGCATTAATGTATCTGTGTGAAATGCAAATGATTTAAAAGCGCGACTAAACAAACTGGAGCTGAAAACAAAATGCCACAAATTGAAAAACACGGAGGCGACACAAATGCATTTGTAATTTTTGTTTTTGGCGCCTTTTGGCATGAGGTATATATTTTAGTATATATACATATATATCGATATATTTGCGTGTATGAATTCTGCATACAAGATAGGATATATATGCATTTGCTTTTAATTATAAATTTGTATATGGTTTCACACGTTTTATGCACAGTATTTATGTCGTTAGCTTGTGACACAGAAGCTTCTTCGTTATTTTGGTTATTTGCTTATGATTTAGACTATTGCACTATAGCTCAAAACTTTAGCTACTAAATTAACTAACTACTTATTGTGTAAACAAATGTCAAAGCAAATTAATCGTTTGTATAAATAGACATTCAACAAATTTTCCTATACACAAACACAGACAGACACACACGCACACACACTGGATACTTGGCTGTCGGTACAAGTGTGTGTGGATGTGTGTGTGTGTATGTGTGTGGGCGAGAGTGTTGTGCTAACCCCCCCAGCGTACAATCACAGCACACAAATTACAAGATTCTCACTTAAATCATAATAAACAAATAAACGAACTAAAATTTGGCGTCGTTGCATTTTCCACATTTTGTCGCCTAGATGCGACTGCAGAAATTATAAAGCAATTGTTTATCCTCGAAATGATAAACATTGTTAATGTGTCGCAGAACGCGACCGTCAACAAGATGACGTGCATAGTGCACGGCCTCCATGCGATCCTTGGAGAGGCCCACCTCAATAAGCCAGCTGACAAATTCGCTGCCATAGAACACCTTGCGATAGACACGAATGCGCCATCTGTTGAGCGGAATGGGCAGAAGAAAATTATAGTTAAATTATAAGGAATTCGAGGAATAATTCCAACACTCACCGTCTGTCCTTGGCAATATCCTTTTTGCAGTTCTCCAAGTGATGATTGCGAAATTGCTCGCATATTTGTTTGGTTTCGGGACGCAGATTCGACCAGTGGGGCAAGCTGACGACATTGGCGCCATACCTAAAGAGCATGTCGTTAATAGCTGTTTAAAACATTTTATGTATGTCAAGACTAACCATATTTTGCGCCAGAACTTGACTAGCGGCATCAGCAGCTCGCCCGTGTCACTGATAAACACAGCCAGCACAATCAAACCCTGTCCAAAGTTGAGGAACGCATCGAGAAAACTCAATTCCAGATAGATGCCCGACATGCCCTCCATGACCAGCGTCCAAATGGACACGGCCAGGCCGACAAACATCGAGCAAAGCAATATGATCAATAGGATTGTGTGCTTCAGTGTTTGATGCTCATCGGAGTCGCTGGTATGCTCCAGTGGCTCCAGCCCGCTGCGCGTCTGCTCCTCATACCGTTCTATGATATTCTGGCAGCTCTGACGCGAGGTGCTCGGGCCGCAGTTGTACGAGCTGCTGCACATGTGGCTGCAACCAATGAAAGAAAACAAAACCAACATCAAACAGCTGACTCCGATATAAAGCAAACTCTATGCTTACGTTTCAGTTGCGGGCGCGCTATCTATTTTATCCAAATCCTTCATAACGTTGCGTTGTCTACTGCGACTTAATAAATCCTCTATATCCATAACCACGGTAGATGTTGTTGTGGGCGTCGTCACCGTTGAGGTGGAACAACAATTGCCGCTGCCCGAATTGCAGCCACCGTTGACTACGTTCTCCGGCACAACAGTCGTGGTTATCATTTCATCATCATCGGACGAGGAGGAGTATGAAGTCGTGCGCACGCTCTGCCTAAGCGAGGAACGATCCGTGTTGGCTAATAAATTGGCCGTCGAAACAGCCGATTGCAAATCGGATGCTAGAGATAAAAGATAAATTAAGATTCTGTGAACGGAAGAAAAAAGCTGGCTGCATACCCGAATCCGGATTGGATATATCACGCGAATAGGTCAGATACTTTTCATAGCGCTTCTTGTAGCGCTGATGCAGCACGAGGCAGCCCACGGTAACTGTAAAAGCAAATAGATTAGCTTTCGAACAACCAAGGAAAACTTTGTTATGCCAAATTTGGTTTCAGATTGAAAACTTGGGTGCATCATTGTAAGCTTGCCACACGCGTAGCCGCATGTCAAGCTGTCATAACGCGTCAAATTCTTGATTTTTATCATCAGACTGTTATTTAAGTTAAATACAGCAGAGTAAATACGCACCTATGAAGCACATGACGAGCAGAAAAACTGCAATGGCCGCCTGCGCATTGCCGTATTGAAAGCTGGGATTCTGTTTCTCGCTGGGCATGGATTTCGAGTCGAAGGCAATCAGCAGGCTGGAGATAAGCGCCGGCACGCCCCAGGCAAAGACCAGCTAAACAAATATAAATCAGTTAACAACTGTGCATCATTTGTTAAAGTCAAAGACATTACCATATAGGGCCACAGCTTTAGAACAAAGCACAGGCTGCGACACTGCAGGAAGAGCAGCGTAATGGCCAGAAGGGCCGTCCACAAGCGCGAGCTGTAGGTGCCAATGTTGAACAGAAAGAATTGCAAGTACAGAGGCCAGCGCTCCACATGGTCCAGCTTCGACCAGAGTATGACGCCAATGCAGCACATTAGCTGAAGAAAATAAAACTTGTTTCAAATACGCTCCATTAAGTTTGAATATTCAGCAGACGCCTCACCTGGGACAGCACCAGGCAGGCTGTTATGCGCTGCGGCATGCGCTTAAAGCGTTTCGTCACAATCAACAGGGTCAGCATCCAGCAGCAGGCTGCGGCGCCGGCAACGCTTATGTCAAAGGAGAACGCGTCCAGCTCGTGCAAATAGTCCAAGGGCTTCAAATTGGTCAACGATATCATCTTGGCAGATATGAACATAAGCGGCGCCGAGATAAACGTGCATAAAACCATGCTGCGAGCAATCTATCAAATATATAACAAGTTAATTTGTTTTCTTTGAGGTATTTAGGTTTAAATGCTGCCCACCAGTTCCACTTCCACGTTGTACTGCGTGGCAATGACAAAGGCGCCGGGCGCCGCCGGAAAAGTGCCATAGAGAAAGCCAAAGGTGCTCAGCTCCGTGGTGTCATTAAAGTTCGCGCCAGCCTGTATAATGTTGACAGTCTGGCGACAGACCAGCGGCAGCACCAAGCTATAAACAGGCCGTTTTTAATTATGTTAAGTACATTTGATGATTTGTTAACAACTCACATCTTGACCAAGATGAGCACGCTGGGCAGCAGCAGGCCCATGCCCATGGTTTTGCGTTCTGCGCCCGTGCCGCCGCCGACAATCTTGAGGCCGAGCAGAAAGAGCGCCGTGGCCGAGAAGCTCTGGCCAAAGACGCGCAGCACACTGGCCACCATCTCGGGCAGTCCCTTGGGAAACAGAAAGCCGGCTCCAACGCCGAGCAATGTCATTAGCAGCAAGGGATTGAAGAACAGCGACTTGATTGTGTTCCAGACGAGTATTGTGTTCTCGCCGAGGCAACGACGCTGCTTGCTCAGCTGCTCGGCGGGGCAGGTTTCCGGGCAGAGCGGCGGATTGCGGCTGACCTCCTCCTTGTTCTTGATAATCTTGCTAATCTCCATGAGGACCAAGCCAATGGGATTGAGTATTGCCAACGAAATGGGCGCCATCAGATACAAATACGAGGCATATTCCGGATGCACATCCTTATAGAGAGCCATAACTAACAACAAATCGAACGTGTTTAGATGTGAATAATGATAATAAAGAGGATTCGGCTTACCTATGGGATAGCCAATGGCAAAGTCGTTGCTCTGCGTGCAAAAAATGGCCATCAGGCCGGCGCGGGCATAGTTCAGGGGTCGCGCCACCAGCAGGCAAATGATGAGCACGGCAAAGAAGACAATCGCCTTGGAGATGAGCATGGCCAGCATAAAGGTCCAGTTGACCGCGCGCCAATTGAGCTCCACCAGCGACAGAAATATGAGCGAGGGCAGGGCAAAGGTGCCGACAAATGTGGCCAATCCTTTGGTTTCCGCATTGCTGATTATCTTAAATCGACCGGCTATATAGCTGCAAAGTGAAAGAAAACAAGATAAATATTTATCTTAAAATTGATTCCGTTTAGGACACACCCCTCCACTCCGTCTGGCTGAAATGTGCGTGTATTTAAGTATATATGATTTATATGCGGAACTTTCAAATTTAAAACATTTCCATTAAACAACAACCTGCAGTTAGGCGTTGACATGCAACAGCAGCAACAAAAGCAACACGTGATCTTGTCACAACAAAAGTTTTAATAACAATAATAATAATAAAAAACCTAACAACCAGTTTTTGCATTTCAAAATCTTGTTATTATTGCGTTTGTGCTTGTTCCTCCCAATGTTCAAAAAAAAAAAAGCAACAGCCTCCGAAGAGCTCGTTCCCCGGCTAACTGGAGTACTTCCCCCCCAAAAACAAATAAAAAAAACCTGACCTCAGCAATGACAACGTTTGATGGACGATTTATGAGGCCCTCACGTACTTATCTTGTCTGGTTTATTTTATTTTTGGTGTGAAGCACAGAAAGTTCTGTTTTTTTTTTATAAACTGCGCAACTTTCTGTACTTCACCAAATGACAGAGCAGTCGAGACAACAAAAAACAGGGTATATTGCAGTTGTAACAGACAGGTACGGGCATTTCCGACAGCTGATTCGATTAAGACATGATGGTGTATGTATAAGCCCGTTAAACTGACGAGACTTCCTGCTTTTTGGTATTAAAAACATATTTTAAGCCCATCTTTAAAGCCCGGTACTTTCATAACGATCAGGTAGATGTTATTTAACAATGCATTTTCCATAGTGTGCGGGAGTTATTACTTTTGTATGCGTTAGAGTTGAGTATGGGATATTTCAGATTAGGACAGCTTTGCATTACAGATTAAGAATATTTTCCTTTTTAGATATTTCCAGTCATTGATCCCAAAATGGCAAACACAACTCGCATTTTTATAGGCCAAGCCTTGCGCTTTGGTATTCGCACACTTTTGCCTGCCATATTTATGCCTTGTACATTTCAAACAGATCGGACTATAAGTACCGAAGTTTGCCAGGCATTAATTTCTGAAAGCTTACATATAGATAACGGAAAGATATGATGTGTTTGTTTTGTTTATTTATGTATAGAAGGAAACGGCAACTTAATGCTGAGTTTGGGGATACCCTATCTTCCAATCGGGCATTTCCCACTAGAGCACGCTTAATCGTTTTAATTGTTGTATACCCTTGTAAATGGTATTATAATTGTGTCATGATTCGTGTAACGCACACAAGAAGACATCATCGACCTCATAAAGTATATATATTCTTGATTAGCATCTACAGCCGAGTTGATTCAGTCATGATGTGCGTTTGTTTCTAAGCAACCTGGTCACTCAGTGTTAAAGTCTTGAAACTTTTCATTCGTGCAAATGTATGTAAGAGAAGGAAGTATCTCCGACCCCATAAAATTTATATATTCTTGATCCGCATCAATAGTTTCATGTAGTTTCTATAATAGTATATTAAGATCAAGTATCTTTTATTTGGTGCATTTGGTGGTGGTAAGGAAGATTTAGGGTATCCGCTAGTCGGTCATCCCGTCTTATTTGTCTATATAGACAAACTATATATGAGCCACATATTATCAAGATTCGCACAGCTATATTATATAGCTCTATATGAATAATCGGTTGGCAAATGAGTTTTTGTATGGCAAAAAATTCTGTTATTTAAGATAATTTCACTAAGCTCGGCATTTACGAGCTTTACTATTCTCATATATCTAAAAATGTCTGCAAAGGTATTACTGAAAGATAACCTTTCTTGCTTGTTTTGTTTAATTTTAGCAGCTTGTCTTTTTATAGATATGTCCCAAATATCTTCACAAAATAATTGAACTGCTGTTCTAGATGTGTTCTATCGCGAGTTTCACGTGTTTAAAACAAGTTTTGAGAACTTGTCACAACAGTTGTGCGTAGTTTGTTTTTGTTTGTCGTCGTGTGAGCTGATAACAAGTGAACAACTGTATCTGTTGTACAAACAAGCATGAAATACAATTAGACAATAGTCGAAATTCAAATACACTTTAATGAATGGAAGTTTAGGTCGAAATTTCCTCTTTTATTGTGGTCAGTCGCCAAAGAGTCAACAACAATCTGCATTTGCGCAAATAATTTCAATCTAATTTGCGCGTTCCGCAATTGTCTCGACGCCTTCCCCTTGGAAAGAAAGGCATGTGATCTCTGTTATGAGGGGCACGTCACGTGCCTGGCCAATAGGTTGAATTATGCAGCCAGACCAGAGATTGCTCTACATATATATATATGTATATATATAAATGTGTATACATATATACGCATGGGTAAACAATGTAGCAGCCGAGTAAGAATCACAGCTGTGCAGATTAAATTGTTGTTGTTTTCACCTACTATGCTAAATGTACTTGGGGTATTTCCTAGACTCAATAAAATGTTAAACACATGTTGAACATTCCGAATTAACTTATTTATGCCAATTGCTTGATGGGTACGGGCAGCTGGTACGCTATTTAACAATTCGCTTTTACATAATTACAATAAAAGTTATGCAGTTCTTTTAATTGTATTAGACAACGAATTAAAGCGGCGCATGTAACTTTAATTGCAATCGTTCGCAAAATCAAAATTTCATTTTAATTCACGTTTCCCGATCTCGCAACGGAACGGAACGGAACAAAACCGAACAGAACAGAACAGAACAACAGAGCATTATGGCAAAATAAATGATTGTTGTTTAATTGCTCGATGGAACAGTTACGCAAATACAAACTGAAATTGTTTGTAAGACAGTAGCGCGTTGCATCTATCAGCATTTAAGACAGCTGAGCATGCATTTAAGCGAAAAAAAACTTACATGAACTAATGTAAATATATGTAATCATAAGCACAGTCAGCACTCAATTAAGCGGCTAATCGCTTTTGTAAATAGTTTAAAGTGGGAACTAGTAAAATTCAAATAATAAGAAAACTATTTTAAACACTTTTTTTAGTGACAAACATTTTAATAGAAATATTTCATTATAGTATTTTAATAAAAAACAAATTCAGGGAAATTTTTAACTTTAATTAGTTTCAATCTTTATCGTAATATTTAAAAAAAAATTTGATATTGAACTTTTCAAGTAAAGTTATCAACTAAATTCAGTAGCAAATCCAGTACAAACAATGCCCTTATCTGTCTAGGAAATTCCTTTCTCTTTGAACGTAACCTTATCTGTTAAGTAAAATACTTATTTATTCATATTATTATTTATAATCAATATAATATCAATATATTACATAGCATAATAGTGAAGCAAATAAGTTGCCAAGTGAAAATCATTTTTAATATTCAATTGTTTTCATTTCGTTTTTGGCAGTTCTTTTACAAGATCAGTGTTGAAAAACGCTTCAAAAAAGAAACAAGCAGTCGAAACTGCAGTCGCCATATTTAATTTTTTATTTTATCAGACATCTAGTTATCTCCCTATATCATCCTTTTCATTCAAAAAGCCAGTGTTGAAAAGTGCCTCAAGAAATAAATTAAACATTCAAGAGTGCAAACGCCTTTTACAAAGCCAGAATTGTTAACTATTGTATTGTTGAAAAACACGTAAAAGTAACTAGATTCAAGAATGCAGGCACTATTTTTCGCAAAGCCAGTGTTGAAAACCGTCCAAATACAAATAACATATAGGCCCATTGCAAACTTTATATTCTTTTCCACATATTTTGTAGCCAGTGTTGTGAAGCGCTTTAGGACAGTCAAGAATTCAATCGCAACATTGTATTACATATATTTTAAGACAATACATCTTGTTTCACGTGGCCAGTGTTAAGAAATGCTTTAAAAAAAAGTCCCACAGAGTCAACCAATCGCAATATTTAAATTGTAGTGTAAAACATCTTTCTGTTTGCAAAATTAGAGTTATAAGGCTTTTAAAAAGATTTATAAATTCATGAATGCATTCGAATGATTAAATTGAATTCTTATTTGGCATCACCTAAGAACATTTTTCTCCTTACACAAGGTCAGTATTGAAAAGCACAGAAAGTTATTGTTATAAAGCTCTTAAAGAGAATTAAACATTCAAGATTACAATCGCAATATTCAAATTCTTATCAGGCCTCCCTTAGGAATATATCTCTCCCTACACAGAGCCAGTATTGCAAAGCGTTTCAAAACGAATAAAGCAGTCAAGAAAAAAAAAATTTAAAATTCTATCAGTTGTCTTTTAGGAATATCTCCCAAATGGATAATTGCTCAATTCGAATTATCACTGTATCCATGTACATATATTTAAACAAATATATGCATGTATATATACATACGTAATTGCATTGTCAGTCGATTGTCGATTACATAATTGTTAGACATTGCATCAATCGAAGTTGATCGATTTTGTTTACTGGCAACGTTGCAAGGTCAATTGTAATTGTTTAAATGTGTGCGTGTGTGTGTGTGTTTGTTTATATTTTTATCGCACTCTCTAAACGTTTTACTTTCGCTTATTGTAATTACTAATTAAGCGCGAATATTTTGCAATAGCCTTTAGTGTAGCATGGAAATTGCGCTAGTATTAAGGTTTTTTTTTTTCGATATTGTTTTTGTTGCTGTTTGTGCATTGTAATTGTTGTTTATTTGCATAATTTCATTTGATTTTAGACTGGCATTTAAAAGTTGACAGCAATTTTAACGCTTCACGCTTGTCTGCGCTCAAAAATTGCTAACGATTTATGGCCCAGATTTGAGGCAATTAATAACGCAAACACTTGATAAAAAAAACGTGGGCGACATTAAATTGCTGCTGTTTAAAAAGTGGCGAACAAAAGTTCTAATATTAAACTGGCATGTGATAGAAATGCAAACTCTCAATTTGCTGACTCATTTGCATGCACTATGCAACGGAAGGGAATATCCATTCAATGTGCCAACGACCTGCATGACTAAGGGGTAAATGTAATGCATAAATCAAAACACGGTATAAAAAACCCACATAAAATATGAATTTTAAATAAAAAGATTACCAAGCAGAAATTGCAAGTTAAAAACCACGACAAATATCGAGAAAAATATTCTTTATTTACCCTTCATACAGAACTTTTTATATAAAAATGCCCAAAATTTCATATGGATCGAAGAGCAAATTTCCCATGCATCGATTGCGTTTAAGGGGAAGAGAAAGTACAGTTGCGTGCGTGTGTGTGTGTGTGTGTGTATGTGCGTTTGTGTGTGTCTAGCTCAGCGCTGGGTATCTCCCAGTCGTGCATTGCCAAATAGAGCACTCTCGTTAATTACACTTATTTTGTGAGTGCTCAAAATATCTCTTTTTGCTGCACATTGCTCATAAATCAAGGAAATTAAATATCGGCATCAATTAGCACTCTAAACCGGTCATTGAACGAGCGCGTGACAAATAACCAATGACAAACCACAAACCAAAGCCAATTTGGACAGCAGCAAAAACTAACAAGAACCGAGAGCACAAAACCTGATAACGAACAGGAACAAAGCCCACGCAGATGTCAGTCAAGGTGCAAAGCGTGAACCCCATTTTCATAGAACCCACCCAAATGTGCGTGGCTTACCCGCATATGATAATGCCAAAGCACTGCACCAAAGCCGGGTAGAAGTTGTCCATGGAGACGCCGCCATCCTCGACGCGTGGCGTTGCGGCGCTGCTGCTGCTGACGACGACAGCGGCCTCTGTGACGACCGCCTTTGCGGCATCGGCAGCGCTGTCGCGCAGAGATTTATAATACATGGAGCTATCCATATTGTTTCACGGAATTGTTCACTTGCTTGCAACAAGCTGCAGCATGGTTGTCGACTGGAGTGAGGGGGAGGGGGTGTCACTTTAACAGCTGACGCGCAGCGGCTGTGACGTCAATGGTGCGCGCACGTACGACGTCGGCGCTGGGCGGCTGTGCAAATATTGAATTTTCGCGAAATTTAATAAATTCCGTCACACACACAATCACAAACCAGCATAGCAGACAATTATTTAATTACGCACTTTACGGCGCTGCTGTGGTTTATTTGTGGCACATATATTTTGGTAGATTTGCAACTTTCATTTCATCAGCGATTCAAATATAAACACAAAAACCATTTTGTCGTGCTCTCTACTGCACCTGAAGCATTTTCATTGCATTTTTCACTTCACGCGCTGCGCACAAACTTAGCTCTAAATGAATTTTGCTGGATGCTGCAACAATCTGCCTGCTTTTATAGTAGAGTTGTCTTCCAATATGTTCGAACGAGCGAGCAAAAGAACCTGTTCTCTGATTCGCGCTCATTCGGTTCGTTTAAATAATTGTGTTTGTTACACTTAAGCTGTCATGTTATTATGTTTCCTTAATTTATTGTCTTGTTAGCTTAGTCAAATCAAGTCACATATCAGCAAAACAAAGTCGGAAATGATGCACATTGCGTTCGCTCTCTATAAAACTATAAAACTCTCTATAACTACTGAGCGTGTGTCTTCAATTGAACTACAATGCACAACTCTGTTTAATAGTTTATGATTTTTCCTAGAGATGGCGAACAGTTAAGCACTTGCGATGTTTGCTAATCGATTTTAAATATATATAATTTATTTACATAAAGTGCTTACCTATTTTATTGTGCTTATATTTTATAAATATATTTTAAGAGACAACTTAACGAAAATACATTCGTAAGAGCTCTTTCATATATTATATATTATGCGCGATTAGACTGAGTTGCGTACCAGGGCTGACAAACAGTTCCGATATTTTCTGCAAACGATATTTGCATTGCCTATCGATACTAAATTACTGCTCAGATGTTTACAACTTAAGCAAGAAGCAGAAAATTAGTCATCAAACAAAATTCGCTTAAAGTTCTTCAAGTTTTTGTAAAATACATCCGCAAAGCACAAAATGAATCGACTTTTTGGACGTGGAAAGCCCAAGGAGCCCGGACCGAGTCTAAATGACTGCATTTCTGGCGTAAGTAGATGTGTGAATCTCCAAAATTTTTTTATCTCTATCAGTATATCCATTACAGGTGGACGCACGGGCCGCAAATATTGAGGAGAAGATTGCGAAGCTGGAGACAGAACTGCGTAAATACCGTGAACAAATGAGCAAAATGCGCGAATCTCCAGCGAAAAACTCAGTTAAACAAAGGGCGCTGCGTGTACTCAAACAAAAGAAGGCGTAATTGCTATCAATACCAAGCCAGGACAAAATATTTATTGCGTCTTTTTGCAGCTACGAGCAACAAGCCGAATCTCTGCGCAATCAGTCTTTCAACATGGAGCAGGCCAACTATGCCGCCCAATCGCTCAAGGATACTCAAGCCACGGTGGCCGCCATGAAGGATGGAGTCAAGCAAATGAAAACTGAATACAAAAAAATCAATATCGATCAAATCGAGGTCCGTTTCTTCAGTTTGTTTACATGTTAAAAGCCTATCACGCTCTGTTATCTATGTAGGACATACAAGACGACATGGCCGACATGTTGGAGCAGGCCGATGAAGTGCAGGACGCACTGGGCCGCACCTACGGCATGCCCGAGGTGGATGATGATGATCTGCAGGCCGAGCTGGATGCATTGGGCGATGAAATGGCCTTGGATGATGATTCCAGCTACTTGGACGATGTTGTTAAGGCTCCCGAAGCGCCAGACAGAGAGCCAGGCGCCGACAGTGTTAAGCCCGGAAAGGTAGCAGCATGCAAATACAATTAAACAAACAACAGTTTAAATAATACAAATTTATTGCCATTTGCAGAGCACCATTGAAACGGATGAGTTTGGCCTGCCAAAGATACCGACCTCTTTGAAGACTACATAGATACCCTCACTCATATATATGTACATATATATATGTGCATGTTCATATTAAATCCAAAAATGAAAGCCATGCCAGGCACGCTTGTTTCCATGCAGTTTATAAAAAACAAAAGCCGTTTAAGTTTATTCACACATTGCTTTATATATTTTGTATGAATTTTCGTTATGTTCTGAAGCAGGCCTATTAAAAGGTTTTGCACACTGACGCTCTCTTTTGCTATTCTCTTAGCGTCGCGTTGCAATTGCAATGTGCGCGCTCTCTTAAGTGCAAAAGCAAAAGTTAATCATGCGGCTAACGCTGTTGTCGTCTCTCTTTGGCACACACACACGCGCGCAGACAATCTGCGAGCGCTCGCATTTGCGCTCACACACACAAGCACAGCGACGTGCATGAAGGTAACTGAGCTTTGAAGTTCAGAGCATGAACTTGAGCGGCCGCGCGCGTGTCTCTGCCGCTGTGAATGCTTGCCTGTGTGTCAGTGTGTGCGTGTGTGTGTGTCGGTGTGTCTCGGTGCACTGCTGTGTGCAAAAATAACGCGTTCGCTTGCGTTTAGTCTTCATCTGACTGCTGTAACGGACGGTCGCAAATTCCGAACGAACTGGGCAACACATTCGATCACAGCAGCAACAAATACAAAAAAAAAAACCTTCGCCCCAAAAAATAAAATAAAATCAAATACAAAAACAAAATCAAATCGCCAAACGTAATTGTTAACGCAGCGTCGAAACGCGCGCGTTGCTGCCGTCTACTAACCCGTTCACTCCCACCACCCCCCGCGCTCAAAGCCAAACCAACTGACAGTTAGCCGGGCTAACGCATCGTCCTCGTCTTAACAAAACTTCTCGTCGTAATAAATAAATTTAATTAAAATGCGTAACAAGTGAAATATGTGCCGCATAAAGTGTATTTGTGTGTGTCTGTGTGCTTATTATAGTTAAATCTGATTCCTGATCTGAATCTGAATCGGAATCTGAATCGGAATCTGAGTAGTATCTGAATTCACTGCCAAAATGCCACGCAATTGGCAAGAGTCTTGTGTAATTGTATTTTGACATCGCCCACACTGCCCAACAGCGCGATCCCCGCAGAGTGCCTCGAAAGTGTTATTATTATTATTATTAGTATTGTTGTTGTTGTTGTTGTTGTAGATTTTAAATGCACATATACGCAATATTTACAATTGTTTTAATATGCAAATATTTGCCCAGCAGCCATTTGTAGCTGCTAACAAAAAGTGCAACCGTTAATCAAAAGATAAACAAAACACAACACAAAAAAAAAGTCATCGCATTCTAACTGGAAACATAATGGATATACCCCAAATTGGATTACTTCTGTTTCAAATGGTAAGCAAAAGCCTCAACTCTAACGGTATATGCATATTGCGCATACGCAGCGTGCACCGTTTGGGAATTTTTAGAATTCACCTCAGAAAATAATCCAGTGTTGCATTTGCCATTATGGTAGAGTTGCATTCGTGTTTGCCAACGGGAGGTGGGGGCAAAACAAGTGCAAAAAAAAAATGCAGGAAGCAATTCGCAAGTGGCAAACGCAAAAAAAAAAGCTTTCTATGCTCACATTTCGTCATCACAAACATACATACGTATGTGTGTGTGAGTGAGTGTGTGTGTGTGTGTGTGTGATATATGCATGAAAGTTCAGGAAAATATCAGCAAATACTCAGATACAAATTGATGTATGTGTGCATTTAGCGACTACATATGTGCATTGGTGAATGGAATGATTCATCTAAACTGTGCAACAAATATATATATACGCGGATATAATATATATATATTTATATACATATATATACGGGTATTATTTACAGTTCCTCTCGAACTGAACAGCAGGAAATTCTTACAAAGAAAGTACTTTAAGGTATTTTTTATGGCATATTAATAACAATTCCTTTCGATGTGATACTTTAACAATTCTTCTAAGTATAATTAACATTTAGTCAATTATATTAATTAAGTTTGTTACCTAATTAAAGCTTAATTAAAACTTCTTATAGATAAGTAAATGCAGTTCTTTCTCGAATTTGAGCCATGATTCATTTAAGTTTCCCGATTTTGCCGAATTTCCATTTTGCAACAAATTGATGGACTGTTTTTTTCTTTGAGGGGAGGGAAGAGGGGGGGGGGTATTGGGTGCTTCTCGTGTACGACTCGAATTACAGCTTCGATCGTAGTATCAGAGCTAGAGCAATGTCCCACTTTTGCGGCTTGAATATTACAATTTACCAATAATTAAAATTCGATACAAAAGAAGCTATAAAAACTGCTAACAACAGCGCAAATGTTGAGTTTTTTTTTTTTTGATTTCTTATGTTATTTATGCTTATGTCGATTAAGTTTTGGTTTTTATATGGTTAATCGAGACGTATAACCAAATATTGGCAATGCAAATGATGGGTGCGACCTTCGACACGAGAGTGACGAGCCAATAAATTATCAAAAAAAAATTAAAATTCATGCCGAGATCAAGCGGCAGAGTCTCAGATCTCGAATCAAGAAATACTCGAATAGTTATTTGATATTTTTGCTGTTTTTTGGAGACAATGTTAGATGATATTTTCTGGAAATATGCGCAAGTTCGATATTCTTTAAAGATTCAAATAAACGATTTTTAAGAAATTTATTCTGCCGTATGCAAAGTCAAATTCATTTTGTATTTTCAAAATTTATTTATTTTATAATTATTTTTAATTTATTTGCTTTATTAAATTTAGTTTGGGTTTGTTTTTGTGACATATTCAAAAATATTAAACAACAGAAAACTCTAGAAAAACTCAATATACTTACATATGTGTTAAATATTTTGCTTTGCGGACAAAAATATTGGCAAGTTAATATCTAATTTAATTATCGGTTTTATCCAATGTACCGTCTAATATTTAATTATTTTATATAAAATTTTTATACGATTATTAGCTTTTTGTGCAAGCAATCCAATTATTTTTATAAACTTTGACGGCATGGTTAATTTTTAAATATTATTTTATTACAAGAACCCGTAATTTTATACGGACAAAAGTATTTCAACATGAAGTTGTATTATTTTTGATATGGTCACACCTTTCTTTATCAAAATGCAACTCATGTAACAAATATAGTTGACCACACTTTTGTCCGTGACTGTATAAGCAATATAAGGAAATGGGGTTTTTTAATATGCATAAAAATTGTATACTTTAAGTCATTTAAATATGATATCTTCCCATATTTCTTCTACTTCATTTTGTATATTTGCTATAGGAACTCTTAATTAAGATGTCATACCCGCAGCTACGCTGCCTACTTCCCTTAAAGGTCACTTCTCTCGCGTGCAGCAGGTAACAATTCAATTTCACCACGACTTCGCTAACGATTACCAACACTGACCAGCCTCACAATCAATGGGCATTGCCCGCGTTCCGCAAGCAAAACCCAAATGCGAATTAAATCAAATCCATCAAAATATCAAATGAGACATGACAAAAGGCGCCTGGCGAGAGCTTTTGCCGTTTGTTGTGATTGTTGCCATTGGCCGATTGGCTTGACTGCTCCTGTGCTTCAACTCGTCTACTACTCCTCCTCCTGCTCCTGCTTCTCCTCCCTCGCTCCTGCTGCTTCCGTTTTTGTTGCGGTTCTGCGCTTTAATGGTCATTCCGTAGTCAATCAATTAGCGCCTTTTGCATATAACTGCTGTTCTTTTGTTATTGTTGCTCTTCTAATGCTCAAGCATAAGAGCGCGAGCAGGAGCGCAAGAGAGCGCGATCCAAACGAAAGGCAATGAACGCGAGCGCATATTTTGCTGTTGTTGTTGTTGTTTTTGTTGCCTTTGTATTGGCGCGCTCTGCCTTTGTGCGCCTGTGTGTGTGTGTGTGCGTGTGTGTTCGCCAACACGCTGCTGTAAAGCTTTTGGCGTTTTCTTCCGATAACGGGCACACACACAGACACACATACATGGACTTGCGCCTGAGTGTGTCTGTGTGTGCCTCGCGTCAGTTCGCGTCAGTTTTTCCTCCCCGGTGTCGCATGACCCTGGCCTGCTATTGAAGCTAGACACATTCGGAGGCCAATATAAAGCGCAACCATTCAAAATATATACTAAGCATGTTGCCGCCGATGTCGGCAACAAATGCACATGTGCATGCATGTGTGTGTGTGTGCGTGTGTGTGTGTGTGTGTGTGTGCATGCATGCTTATTATTGTAGTAGAAACCTTATGCAGTTGTAATTGTGCGGGCATTCGATACTATTTCAATTGTTGTTGTTGTTGTTTTTTGTGATTTTTTCTAAATTGAGCAATGGGCGTTTCATTCATTGCAAAAAATGGAAAGCTTAAATCAATTTTAATGTTCTAAAAATGAAAATCGAAATTTAAATCTGTCAATTTTCATATTTTTCCTCAAATAATAAATAATAATATTTCCCCTGCTAAATTTTATCTACAACAAAAACTCGCACTTTTCTAAATGTTGATATATATCTTTTATTTATTTCTTGTTACCTTGTTTTATGTCCATTTTTGCTTTATTTGCACGTTCATAAAATTTGCTCCAGAAATAGTTTTTGTGGCATGATATCTGCTGCCGATTGTGGACTTTGTTCGATAAGAAAGGAATAAGTTTGGGGCTTGGGATTAGTAGAACGCTTAACAAATAACGAAAACTACTTAAAATATGCATATTTATGTGTGCATATTTAGTCAATTTTTGTGTGTTTTGCATTTTACCTAATTCTATTGTTTTTTATTTTTTAATCAAACTCGTTTGCCGTGTATTTAAAATCTTTATTCGCAGGGTTTCTATTTCTTGAGATGCGCAGAGAAGAGCATTTATATATGTATGTATTTCTTCTACTGACATTGTCAGCTAGGATTCTTGATAGGTAATTCCCCATACGAACAGCTGCGACACAAGATATTTTTTTTGTTTTTTCGGGCAACATATTTGTCCAAGCGTTAACTTGGCCGATTGATAAGCGTACAGCGTATAGCGTACAGCGCGGCGTATGCTTGATAAAGCGCAACCTTAGGAATTATTACGTATACGTCAAGTGTGTAGCCAACAAACAGCTGGATTTGTATTTAGGGTTAGAAGCCAACGGCCTTGAATTCCTAAGGCCCAACGGGCAGATGTTGTATGTTGCAGACGAAAACTAGTTCTAACAAAAATATAATCTATATATGTATGTGTGCGATATTAAAAGTCATCGC